TGGGAGACTAGCGGGGTAAGGGGGATCAGAGTTGATGTGGCCAATAGCGAGTGGGTGTAGGGTGATTTAGGGTGGCTCGACGTTGGTTCCTCTAGTGAACCCGTGAAGCGGAAACCAGAGAAGGAAGGTGTCTCGTTGGTACTTTTGGGGAGTGCAAGGCATCAAGAAGACTTGGCTAGAGTGGAAGAGCTCAAGCAGTTGGCCGCTAAACTGGGCGTGCAGGTTTGTCAAAACATTCCGTCGCCTTCCCTTCTCTGTCTTCTAGTATCGTAACAGTAACTTACTGCTTTTCCCCTTTACCCGCCATCCCCCTCACGTCATTTGTACCCGCTCATCTGTCACGGTCCGACGCTCCCACCTGATCCATCGGCTGGTCTTGATGATCCGACTACTGGCTAATTGGGCACCATTTTCCTACACCAAATACGAAACCACAAACCGAACGACTGGCTATCCTTGGTAACATTCCGTTCGTGATACCTGTTCACTCCATTCAATGAACGGGCTCCTGATTCCGGATATTCTTCAACGGGTTGATCGACCGGCCCTGATCTAAAACCCCGTGATAATTGTACCCGCGTGGCCACTAATCAATCAAATTGGATTCCCAAATGTGGCAATTGTCGGCTCTGCTCCTACTTCCTTACCCACTCCGCGGGCTCCTCTACATGCTTCCTTCCTTTCACCTCCATCTGAATCGTTATCCTTTCTTTCAACCCTGCATCTTCCACGCACACCCTGCCACTACCGAATATTACACCCGCCGCCTACGATATCTGCTCACCTGCGATCGACTCATCTAACGTGATGGTACCACTACTGCTATCCATCGCGGTTTCCTCCGAAACGGTCTTTTTTTGTGACTTTCGGCGCTTTGCTGTGCGGTAAATCTTGCCCTACCCGACCGACTCATGTGGTTCTCCTCGCTGAAACTTGCCGGTGGTGCTGGCTTGGCCGCTCTTGTGAACCATCCTCTCCAATTCCTTCCGATACCTATACCTGCATCTCTGTAACCGATTCATTTTCTGTCTTGACGTACTCTTCTCAGTCACACGTACATTTTCGATTGAATGCTACCTACGAAGAGCTTCTTCATTGGTTGTCCGTGTCATCCATCGGAATCAGCACCATGGTCGAGGAACATTTTGGGATCGGAATCGTCGAATTTATGGTAAGTCCTTTATCCAGATTTCATTTTCGAAATATCATGGAGTTTCCATTGCGTTCTACGGGTCTCTGATTGGGCCAAATTTTCAATTCCTTTTGAACCTCTTTCTCGTCAAAATACGCTTATTTTGATGAAGAGGTTCTTAATTTTCCCTCACGTTGTTGCTGTTCCTGCTCGTGGCGCTGTCCCCTTAGCCACCCTAAATCACCCTACACCCACTCGCTATTGGCCACATCAACTCTGATCCCCCTTACCCCGCTAGTCTCCCA